GATGGGTCAGAGGGTGCTGTGGGCTCCGCCAGCTTTGCCCCCCACCCCCACCCCCGTGGCTATGGGTGGTGGGGAGGGGGCTGGTGGCCAGGAGCGGCTCTGGAGGCTGCTGCCTCTTGGGGTGTCACGGGGAGGATGATGAGAAAGGCTGGTTGTGTTTTCCCTGTTTTCCCTGGGGGCTGTGCCTTGAGCTGGCAAAGCCGGGCTGGTTTTTGGTGTTACCCCGCACCCCGCTCCTCTTCGCTTTGGGCTGGGAAGAGCAGGTCCTGCTCTCCCTGGGCTTCTCCCTTCCACGACCTGCAATCTGGCAAGCAAAGGGTTTCCAGCCAGGAGAGACAGCAGCCTCCTCCCTTGTCTTCCAGCCTTTTCTCCGGCAGACAGGGCTTGGAATGCGCTGGGATCCCCAGGGATCCCTCCCCAGACACCCCCTGCCCAAGCTGGGCATCATCTCCATGGGAGCAGGGAGTGACAGGCAGGGTGGGAGCAGGGTACCAGCACGGGGGATGCCCTGGCCCTGGAGCAGGGTACCAGCACGGGGAGATGCCGGGGGGGTGAGAGCATCCTGCCGCGGGACCACAGCCAGGCCGCGGTGGCTGCGTGTGAGCCGGGAGAAGCCGCGGTGCCTGCCTGGCTCTTCTCCTCTCGCCGACGTCAACTGTTTCCCCGTGCCCGGAGCAGCTGCGGCTCCACACCGGTTGATGCCATCGATTAGTTCCTCTCCCCATCCCTGGAGAGGGGACAGTGCGGGTTGCAGCAGGGGGGAGAGAATAAATATTTCAGCAGGTCCAGGCAAAAGCTGGGGTTATTTTGGGGACGGGATTTATGGGCTATTAGGAATAAGGAATGAGTCTGTGCTGAGGAGAGGAGACCCATTAATCCAGGCTGAAGGAGCACAAATGAGCAAGGGGAAATGGAGGAGGCTTTAATTATTTCGCCGCGTTCCAGAATAATAAGCCGGCCCTCCGGCCGAGCGCTGGGGTGGGGCTCGGGAGCTCTTCTCCCCGGGAACTGGGGCAGGCGAGGGGGCACTCACGGTTAAATCCCCCCCAGCTGTGCTGGGAAGGATGGGGGTTCCATTCCGGGACCAGTATGAGAGCAGTACGAGCAGTGTTGCTGGCTGGGATGTGGTACGGAGGATGCATTGCGTGTGGGGGGAGGCTGCAGAGCGCAGGGATGGCTGGAGGGGCCCGTGGGTCGGTGCCTGGTCCCAAGGGTGCCCTTCCCGGGCCGGGCCAGCCCCGCCACCCGCCGTGCCCCGTTAAGGCAATCCCGTCGGTG